AATTTAAATGTCACTTAAGCACTACAGTGTTTAGTTGTCCTTTTCAACTTCACACTAAATTCCATTTTCAACTTGTTTGCTTCTTACAATTGTATAGCATTTCTAAAAGTATTGCATTACAATCCGCTGGTTTATTGTATACATTGCTTGCAATGTATACAGAGTTATAAGCTATATCAGGTTTAATGCATTACCGAACAACATCCACTCCCGGATAAAAACCGCTATAGAAACTAGTTCTTCATTCTGCAGTAACGTTACATTCCGACTACATATCATTATAATAGTGTTTTGCAAAGTTGTTTAAATGCTTTGAAATTTCCAAATCGTTCATTTTCAGGAAATAATAGACTCTACATTCCTTTAAAGAAAACAAAAAATAACAGTTCATTGATAAAATCGTAGTTTATACCTACGCGTTAAACTTCGCATATACGCATGCGCTTGCTAGCATGAATGAATACATCGTAAATATAGTAAAGTCGTCAGCGCTTATGCTAAAACAATACAAAATAAGCTTTTTTTAAACCGCTAGTGTGTTGTGATTAAATGTCCGATTTTAAAATGTATTACACCAATAGAAAGCTTTGGATCTTAGCTTCATCACAATGTAAACTTCAATACATCTTTTGACTCCAAAGTATTTAAATTAACTGTTAAACCTACCATATGTCAGACCATTTTACATGCGATTTATACAGTGAGATACGCAATGATAAGAATAGCCTGTCGTCTGCTAGTTCTAAAAGTGTATATCGGTGTATTATATAAATGGGAGATAGATATTAAATCAAATAAAATTCCCGATTTACATTTATGCAATAAAATTGCACTAAAATGTTTTACAAAATAAGTATGGAGCACCGTCACAAAATTTACCAGCGTATACCGGAAAATGTTTTTTTTTTTTTTTTTTTTTTTTTAAACTGGCAATTATCGTGACTTCGAAAAATAAAAATTACGTAAGCTATTCTTTTGAATACCTTTTTTACACATGATTTTCCTTTCACTTTTGTATGCCTTAGATTTTTGAAAAGAAATATGTTTCGAAATTCAGCGAAGATTGCCGGATTCAGTACGGGTAAAAATAAAGATTCGGCCGCTCGACCGTTCGACCCATTACAATTCGTCGAACTTGGGATATTGACGTATGGAGCTAAATATGCATATGTGGCAAGATTCGACGAGAAGAAATAATCATTTGAAACTGTAAATCAGTGTAAGCATTAAGAAATAAATACATTATGTTATTTTTATCTGCTTATATTAATTGCCGAAAAACACCAAAAAAAATACCGAAAAACACTTAAAATACAAAGAAATATTACTTCAGCAATATAAACCATTTTTGATGGTTATTTGATGAAATTGGTTTTTGTCGGTTATTTGATGAAATGGGTTCAATAATATCAGTTTTAAATCGATGATATATACAATTGGTATAATTCCAACAAAATAAGTTTTATCTACTTTTTTCTACCCTTTAAATGATTAAAATTTACTTTCTTTTGCAACCAGTGTAAATTAGAGAATGATTCTATTCTGTATCAAATGCGATATGAAAGTGTTTTTCGGCAAAGTTACAGTCTAGCGTCAAAAAAACATGGAAAAGCCGGAAAACACATTTTTACGGGCATTAAAATAGTCGTAGTTAAAACAAGAGCCGCTATTTTTTTTCCAACCTTTTAAATGAATAACTATTACTTTCTTTTGTTACCAATGTAAAATGTCAGTGATGTTTATATTTTTATAAATACAGCATGAAAGTGTTTTTCGGCTACGTATCGGTCTAGCGTCAAAATAATGGAAAAGCCCAAAATAATAAAAAAAAAAAAAACAAAACACATTTTACTTGCGATGAAATGGGCATTTCAAAAATAGAACTATTAAATAAAATTTTAACCGTCTAAATGAATGATAATAACATTATAATTTATGTGTAAGAAATGTAAAATATCAGTAATATTTTTGTAATAAACATTGTATGAAATTGTTTATCGGCTATGATACTGCCTAGCGTCAAAAACATAGAAAAAATAAATAAACAAACAACACATTTTACTTGCAATAAAATACTAGATATATTTTTAAAAAAAAATGCTGCTAAATATATTTTCAATCGTTTAAATGAATAACTATGACATAGAATTTATTACCTTTGTAAAATGTCAGTTATTTTTTGTAATAAGTACAGTATGAAAAAGTCAGTGGTGAAACTTATAGGTTGGCTAGCTCAGGGTGAGGTTAGCCTGGTTTCCAGTCTGTCGATTTTTTGTTATGTTTCTGTTTGGCAAAATCGACACTATCAAACGACGAACGAATACGGAATATTAAGCGCATATGTTATGAACAAAAAAATGTTATAAATAAGCAAAAGCTATCAACGCCTGAATCCTAGGCTAGGTGAGGTTTTAGATTGTTGAATGTCGGCCATCCATCTTATGTCAACTCTGGTCTGTCCACATTTAGCATCGTCGGATACCCACGGCCGAACCATTTACATTTATCAGTTAGGTATCAACCACGTGTATCCGATGCTGACATTACAGTTGTTAACAATCTGATGGTCATTTAGTTTGTTAACACTCTACTGGTCACCCTTTGTCCCAATTGTCAAACAACATCGTAAGAATGTGTGTGACAGGTGTTGCTCGAGTTTGAACATGGATCACCTTGGTTGAAAATCAGAAGTATGTCACAGTAGTCAAAAAATAGAAAAAAAAAATGTTTTAGCTCAATGGTTCATCTAAAGTTAAGAAGTTGGTAACACAACCTGATTATGGAAAAACCCTTGCAATATAAATGGATTTCTTGGAAAGGTTGTTCATGAAGACTATATGTAACAATTATTGAATAATGAAAATATTACAGAACATTTGAATTGTTGTGATTATAGATTTCATTTTTATTAATTAACGATAAAGTAATGCATTTGAAAATTAATGTGTAGAGATTAATACAACACACCAGAATATATTTATTAATGCATCAAAGTACAGTACATAGATATACTGTAATTTGGTAATTAAGTCTTGTAGGATGATTCAATTAATTGACTTTGTATAGAGATCAAACCAGATCATGTATTTTATCAGATAGCATCACTGGAAACTCAATATGACTGTTTCAATATTCTATACTGCAGTCCATTTAACGGGTGTTTCAAAAAATGATTTCTTTATTGCTCATCTATCAGCTTGTCCTAGCAATACACAGATGGAACATTACATCTTCCTTAACTCATAAATAACTTTTGAAGAAAAAAGCCTTGGTGCATGTGAATCACTTGTTAGGGACATTGATCTTGGTCAGAAGATGATCCCTATTGTTTTCGAGGTCAGTAGGTTAAAATCAACATGGCTTTGATGTCAAAAATGGATTATATTATCAAGCAATGTATACTTCAGTACTTTCAGTGCTTTGATTAATTACATGTTTAATGTGTACTTCCTAATCGCCTGTCCAAAAATCAGAACAGGTGATGCAGAATCTATTTTTAGAATAGCGAAGGTTAACTCATATCGTGACCTAGTTAAATATGTAAACAAACCACAAGAATCGGAAGTAGAACTGATATTATAACTTCCTTACCATGAAAGACTACATGGCGGTAAAGTGTCTTACATGCATTTTCAAAAATAGATATTTATACTAGCCATTGTACTGTATCTAATATATTAATAACTGCTGAATATTCAGCTAAACCCGCGGTATGAGTCACGAAAATAGTTCTGCTTTTATTAATGCGCGAGGTATCCTAGAGTCACGAAAAACTTTTGATTTGTTAATAATAATGTTTTGTATAATGTAGAAATATTTATTTCCTACTAATAATGTCTTGGAACTCAGAGGTTACACCTTTATTGTAGTATAATTTGCTGTCCTACTTTTTCGACAGCGGTAAATCGTTTCAGCAGTAATTTGCATATTGCGCAATAATACTACGGGACTACAACGTTTTTATCAATAATATACGTTCATATTTTAACTTGGATAACTTAATTTGAAATTGAAAAGGCTAAATATGGAAGACATTAAGATATCCAGACAAAGTATGGGAGTTTTGAAGGATCAAATTCATGTACTATTTCTTGGGCTGTTAATTGGTTTAGGACACATTGCGCGAGTGTAGCCAACGAAATCCCATGTGTAGATGACTTAGCTCTGAACGCGCCTGAGGGCGCGTCCGTCGCAAAAAGACGAAACCTTTCTATGCTAAATTTCTCTAATACTTTTCTCTAATACCTTTGTCCTGTTTTGAATTGAAGAAAGCTCATAGTTGATAGGGCTTTCATTGATGGAAAAATTGGTATTGGTATATAGAAAACCAAGTTTCAGTACTATACGTGTCTGACCATCGACATATGATATACCTGTCTGACCATTGATATATGATATACATGTCTGACCATTGATATATGAACAGACATCGCGGCTGAATTTCCATTTATCAAAGTAAGCGAAGCTGGAAAAGATATATGAGTAAGCATGAGGTTTTATAAGAAGTAACTATTTTGCATTTGATATCAAGTATGGATATACTTAAGAAATCAATATAGAAATAAATAAGAATACATTTAGGGACTTTAAGGTGGATTTGTTAATCATTGTAAAAGCAATGGACAAGTCAATACCTATGGTGTCCTGAAATGGACTTTTCCCAAAGTAACTTTGAATTAGTATAAACTGTTAAGCGTTGATTAAGAAACTGAGACAGCTTTAAATTGATTTTGCATTCAGTAAAATGCGTTCTGATTGGTTTAAAATATTTGGCAATCGATTGTATGCATTCTGGTAGGTTGAAACTGTTTGCATATAATAACATGCATTTTGATAGGTTGGAAATATTTGGCAAACAGTTATATGCATTCTGATTGGTTGAAAATGTTTGGCAAATAATTATCTGCATTCTGATTAGTCGAATTTATTTGGTTAACATTAATCTGCATTCTGATTGGTTAAAAGTATTTGACAAACAATATTATATATTATATTTTCAGGTCCAGATATACAGCTCCACTTCATTACAGATTCATAAGACATTAAGTCGATTTAAAGAACTAGCGTACTGTGGTAGTTTCCGTAGCGATGGTCGCTTGATGGTTGCCGGGGGTGATGAAGGTCATATCAGATTATTCGATATTCAAGGACGAAAAAATTTAAAAAGAATTTTTTAAAGGACAAAAAGGGGAAAGATTGTTTAAAAGTAATAGCCCTTTTTGTTTTGGGCCTTTAATAATTTTTTTCTTAAAAAAATTTTAAACTCGGGAAATTTTATTTAAAACCCTTGTCCGTCTCCCCTCCCTCCATTGGGGAAGGATCTGTTTTAGTAACCCAAAGGGCTCGTTGGTTTACCCCTTGGGGTAGGGTTATGGTTAGGATTTTTTATAGTTTTTCACCCAAAAAAACCCTTTTAAATGACATGCCCATCTTTCGAACAGAACAAAAAATTTTCTTTTCCTTTTTTAAGGGGGAAAAATTTTTAAAAAAATTTGTACTGACTGCATGAATAGCAAACAGTGCAGATCACGTTTGGTCAGAACTGATATGCCAGCTGATCTTGGTTTTCACTGGTCACATGGGTACAATCTGTAGCTACCAGCAGGCTAAGGGTCGTAAGTCAGTTACTATCATGGTTAGTATCTTAAAGGGGAAAGATCGATAATTATGTGTTTTTAAAGCAGCATGTCTCTAGATTTATGCTAATTTTCATGAAAATTTTGAAAATTCATTTTAAAGTAAAAATATTGTGAAGCGAACAAAGAAAGTAATTAACACATTACATACAGCACTAATGTAATTTACCAAAAAGAGGTAAAAATATACAAAAATAGCTTCTATTATGTTTACAACATTTGCAGGAAAATAACTACATGTTATTTTGTTAAATTTCATCTTTGACAAATTGCTGTAAATTTTATCTCAAAATTTCATGAAATTTTATCATTTATCACTTGAGAATTTCTGAGGATGTTTGTAATACTGTTTTCTCTTTACCTTCTTACAGTGCAGTCCATGTGTCCAAGTTTTTATCAAGTAATGTACAAGTTTTATCGGGATCTGACGACAACACAGTCAAAGTTTGGGACATCCCCACGGAGAAAGATCTTGTCACCTATACTGACCATACTGTAAGTTTGTTATATTTTATTTAACTATTGACAGAAGCTGAATTTAACAGGAATTCATATATTGACAGACATTGAATTTGACATGCATTTCAATATAATGACAGACTTTGTATATTGACAGACTTTGAATTTAACAGGCATTCATATATTGACAGACGTTGAATTTAACATGCATTTTAATATATTGACAGACTTTGTATATTGACAGACTTTGAATTTAACAGGCATTCATATATTGACAGACGTTGAATTTGACATGCATTTTAATATATTGACAGATGTTGTATATTGACTCTTGTTGAATTTAACAGGCATTCATATATCGACAGACATTGAATTTAATAGGCTTTCAAATATTGACAGACATTGAATTTAACAGGCATTCAAATATTGGCAGATTTGAATTTACATGCTTTCAAATATTGACAGGCATTGAATTTAACAGGCTTTCAAATATTGACAGACATTGAATTTAACAGGCATTCATTATATTGATGAAGGTATTGAATTTGTTGATGGCCAATGAATTTTAACAGGCATTTTAAATTGTCACCTAAGTGCAGCAATGGGCGTTAACTCCTATTGTTTCACTTATAACAGGTGTTATCTTGCACTAATGCGAACAAATGCGCCAGACAGATAATTTTAAGTATAAATTTGCATTCATACTTGCAACACGCATGTACCTTTAAAATAAATTTTACTGAAATTAGTGGTACCAAGGCTTTTTTTGATGAAGCTACCATGCCGTTAATTTTTAGGCAAAAATTATGCGGTATATTTGCAAAATGGGAAGAAAAAACTTGATGTAAATTCAATTTTGTGGGAAAACTTCATGATTTTAAATAATTTTTCTTTGGGGAAGCCATCATTAAACAACTCAAAAAAAGAAATCCTGGGTACCTTTATAACTGAGCTACAAGAGAAAAAAAGATTTTTTTTGTTTTTGGACGAATCGTGATTAATTTGTATACTTGTAGTATTTAACAGGTTTAGGGAGGTAGTTAATACTGACGGTGCTTTGCCTCGCTCGAGATCAGTTTCTTTGTGCCCATTTTTAACAAAACAAAGGCAAAATTTGTTAAAATTTCATCCAAAATTCTTTGCTTTTACAGGGTAAAATTTATTTTCACCCATAGACTATTGTGAAAACCAATTTTATTTTGCTTTTGACAAAAGATTTTTGGATTTTAATATTTTCTGGGGATATTTGGAAGCTTTTATGTTGCGAAAAAACAAACAGGCGATGTCTACATCGGAATTTCTTTATTGATATGAGAGACTAGTGTCATAAATGAGGAAAAATGTAAAAAAGATATATATATTTTTTTTAGATTTACATCGTCTCTTTTTGTCTTTATTATGTAAAGTTATTTTAAAGCAGAATAGGACGGGGGAGTCAGGAACGAACAATATCATGTTACGATAAAAAATTTGTTGAAAAGATATTTTTATGGTATTTTGGTGAAAATCTTCAGATCAGATAAAATATTTTTTTTATACACGTAAATATTTTGAAATTATCAGATTTTGTTTGGTTTTGTGTGTATTTTGAATATTTCACACCCAGTAGGAAGTAGTTATTATGTGAATTTTCATTCTTTTATTTGTAATTGTCAAAGTGACTGTGAAACGTAGACAAGATCCATTTTAAATGCATAAATATGCTTCTGTATTTCTTATTATCCTGTTGATTGTCATAAAAAGACTTGTCCATCTTTCAGACTGGACAAAATCATTAAAATTTCAAAATATATACCGACTGTGTACCGAACAGTGCCGGCAGATCTTGGCCTTCGCAGATAGTCTGCTGTCAGCAGACTTGGAGCTTAGTGCGTCATATTAGTCCAAGAAAATAATGTGTTTCCCTTGAGTCAGACTAAAAGAAGTGTTGGAGCACCAAACTAAATACTGTATTCCGGTATATACCGGACAAGGCACTTGAATGATTAATGCTAAAGTATCGCCTGTCCACGGGCCAAAATGAACTTGAAGTCATTTGAATTGTCTCTTCACACCGATTTATACTCGGTAATGAATGAAAAATACCCGGTATAAGAAATGGCAAAAAAAAGTGATATTTTACTAGACCAAATTTAACTTTACCCTCAAAGAGTATAATTATTATGAACTTAGGGTGTTTCATTCTAAATAAGGTAAAATCATTTAGCCTGCTAAAATTCTGGTTCGAGTGCATTGTTTGTGTAGGCTGGTATTGGTCTGTGCCAGTGGCGTGGGTAGAATCTGTTTGTGCCAGCATGTTAAGGGTTAAAAGTGAATATAATTTTGATATAAATTCTTGGGATTTGCAATGAAAGGGGAAACCAGTCTGCTTTTCAAATTATGAGGCAGAAAGAGCCTAAAGTAGGAGTAATTAGGGGAAAGGTGATCAAAAGGAACCAAAGGATATATAAAGGTAATCAAGAAGTGGCTTGGTCTGACAGTCTTGAAATATTTGTAGATTTTCTGCATTAATATATTGCATGATAAAAGGGTATCATTTCACTAGCAAGTGATTTTTGCCATTCAAACTATATCTCTTGTCTGTTTGCTACTTTTGTGTGTTATAAGCAAAGTTTTGTGAACCCTTAAAGCAGCCTGCCTCCAGATTCGTGCTTATTTTCATGAAAATTTTGAAAATGTATTTATTAAAAGTAAAATATTGTGAAGTGGCAATTTGACAGAAAGAAGAATAGCTACTTGGCTGTGAAAATTATATTTCCTGATATTGTAAAAAATTGCAGAGAACTTTGCCTAAACCATACACCTTTAACGCATACTCTGCTGTCGACAGCTAATTCTACCCATGCAGACCAGTGTAGACCATGCCATCTGATCATGGTCTGCACGGGTCTATATAATTTAATCAATATAGTTATTTTAAAATTTTTTGCTTAAAATAATGGTTTAGTCGATGTTGAAAGATGGACAAGTCCATTTAAAAAACAACACACACTTATTGAGGCAGACAAAGTTATCATAGTTGTACTTCTACGTTTTATTTTCCAACACTTAAGTCATTGTTGTTTTTGTTGTTTGTTGTTTTTTTTTTTGTCTTGGTCTATCTTTAGTTACAGAGAATTATTGAAAGACGGAAAATTTTGGCCCATCAGACTTAATGCTGGATGACTTTAACTAGATTTTTACAAAGGTGTTTGTATGGTGTAACAAGATATAACAGTCGTTAATTGACAACTTAGACGAACTAATTGGAACTTGTTTTTTCACACCCTATTTTTTTTTTTTTTTTTTTAAGATAGTATTTTTTAATTTAAAGTGATTTTATGCCACATACTATAGTTTATAAATAGATATCAGGTCTATTTTGGTGGCTTTTATTTTTTGCTACTTGGGTTGTTAAAAAAAAACAAATGGGATAAAGATTAGTGTTTTTTAACCTAATTGGTTAATGGACTTGTCCAGCTTCAACTTTTTGGAACTGTCCATTATCAATTTTTGGGATCTCGAGATGAAAATTTGAAGATGGTCTTAACCCAATAGTATGGGAGCCTGGTCAGATGGGCAGGGATGTTCAGGCTGGCTGAAGGTTCTATGTGATATGATTTGACTTGTTAAGTTTCAATTTTAATTAATATGACTTAATAAGGTTTGATATGATTTTAAAGGTTTGATATAATTCAGAAATTTAAATGAGATTTAGAAGGTTTGGTTTTACTTTGAAGGTTTGATATGATTTAGGTTTGACATGATTAAGGTTTGATATGATTTTGGTTTGATATGATTTAGGGTTGACATGATTTAGGTTTGATATGATTTAGGTTTGATATGATTTAGGTTTGACATGATTAAGGTTTGATATGATTTTGGTTTGATATGATTTAGGTTTGACATGATTTAGGTTTGATATGATTAAGGTTTGACATTATTTAGGTTTGATATGATTTAGGTTTATTATGATTTAGGTTTGATATAATTTAGGTTTGATATGATTTAGGTTTGATATGATTTGTAAAGATGGAAATTAAGAGACGGAGCACTATTCTTTATAATTTGTTTAAAATACATAATATATCCTTTGTGAGGAATTTGCATGAATTAACAAAGTTGTAAAAATGAATTTATAACTTATGTAAAAATACTATATGTGTAAAATGCTGTGTAAAAAAAGAATGTTGTATAAGTTGTATGAAATAAAAACGTCAAGAATTGTTACGTAGAAATATTTTGAGTAATAATGAGTATAGCGAAAAGTGAATTTATTTTATCATTATATTAAATCATGCATGCTGAATTCTTTTTATTATATAACTGAGTAACGGTACAGTGATAAATGGCTATAGAGATTTTTTCGTACGTTACCCATTTATAATATATTTTATTGGTGATAATTATTTCTCCATTCTAATAGCGGTGTTTTCGTAGATTTAATGGGACATGAGCGTCTTTAATCGTTAGAAATACAAAAAAGTTCGGGGATTTATGGATAGTTCATTACGTTGCCACATTACATATTTCGGCGTAGTTTTTGTGAGAGTTGTCAAGAACAGTGGCTCCGATTCCATCACTTTTACTTCGCATATTGAATTCATTAAATCTTCACATCTGATTATGTAACTTTCATTTGTCTTGTACGATATTTAGTAATCATTTTAAAAGAGGGGAGAAGAGAAAAAAATTATATTAGTGTAGCTGCGTTGCATTGTGTTGAATTTTTTTTATGTTTGTGGAAATTTTTGTTTTTTGGATTTTAAAGTAATGAAGTTTTTTAATGAAGATTGGTCATTATAGAAAGAATTTGGGTAACAAATATTTATGAAAATACTGAATTTAATAATGTTAAAGTTAAATGTTGTTGACTTACTTAAATTTCAACATTTTTTTTCAAACGCTGAAATTTTTATAGGTTTTATATGTTTTTTTTTTTTTTTTTGCTTCACACAATTATGAAATTTCAAGAAAAAATATTAAAATTTTATAATGTTTTCATCGATAAACTTTTTAAGAAATTTGAGAAATTTAGTTGAGAGATTACATTGTAAGATATGATAAAATTATTGTGGCAAGTTGCTATTATCATTATTGTTGTAAAGTATATATAAGTTTTTTTGTTTTCTAAACCACAATGCATTGCAAATTATATATGTTAAATATCTTTCATGATCAGAAAATACTTAACAGACAAAGGAAGAAGAAAGAAAAAATCATCATCACGAGATTATTGTCTTCAGCGACATGGTATTAATTGTTTTTTAGGAACATAAATGTACTTAGCTACACAGTGAGCGGAAAGCTGTGCTCCTATTGGCCGTTACAGACACAGCAGCTTTGTAGCTCCGCCCCCTGATAGCTTACCAGCAGCTCTCCAGTGAGGGAAGGCTAATTTCTCAAACACAGTATAGAATTTCTATAGTAGATAATCTATGATGGCTATGTTGAACGTTTTTATGTTCTCCCTTCAAGAGTTTGTCATCAATTGGCATGGATAAAGATCAAATAACAAGGTGAAATTGAAAAAAGAAATGCGAATAATGTTCCTAACAGATACATGGTGCCAAAAAGCTAATATTAACAGTTGCTTGTAATTATTTTTTTTTCTTCCACCATATTTTAATTTTTGTGTGTCTACATTTTGCAGATATTTTTGATTAATTCATGTCCATAATTTTTTTTTTCTCCGCAGAGTATTTTTTAATTGGACATTTGTCATGAGTCCCGTGAAAGCTACTCGATCCTCGCAAATAAACAATGTTTCGACATTGATGGTTTTAAAAGACGTTATCATAGCTAAAAAACACGAGTTAAGGATCTGAATGCTCTGAATCTTACTACTGTATGAAATTTTGCACTGAGCTAGATTTTGTCTACTTCAAAACTCCATCGGCCGGAATGCATTTTAAGTTGTGTAATTCATCTCTTGTTAGGTATTGAGTATGGGTAATTGCTTCTGACTGTACTTATACTGGGTCCACAATATTGGTACGATGGTTGAGGTCTCTGACTTGAAATCACTTTGCCCTCTCAGTAGTGGGTTTGAAACCCAGCAGGGACTTGATTTCTGACTTGAAATCACTTGCCCCTTATAACTGTGGGTTTGAATCCCATCAGGGACTTTTTGATTCTTTGATATGAGGAACTTTCCAACTAGATTGTACCAAAGGTTTGACTGTTCTATTGTGGTACCTGCTTGTGCCGGAAAAAATGTGTGAATTGACACCTCAGAGGTCATTTAGCCCACTCTGCAGTGGGTTCAAATCCTGGCAGTGACTTGATTCTTTGATGTGAGGAAGCTTTGCCGCTTGATTGTACAAAAAGTTGGTGGTTCTATTGTGGTGCCCACTTCTGCTGGAAATAATGCATGAGGGGCACCTCAGAGGTTACTTAGCCCTCTCTGCTGTGGGTTCAAATCCCATCAGGGACTTTAGATTCTTTGATGTGAGGAAACTATCTCGCTAAAGGTTTGATGGTTCAACAGTTCAACTCCGGTGCCTGTATGCCCAGGAAGGGGCATCTCAGAGGTATTCTCAGAGGTATTCTGTTACAAATTAAGCTGGATAGTCGCAATTCCTTCATTGGTTACCTCAACTAAAATTTATGACCAGAACAAATATAAGAATTAAATATAATAAAGGAAATAACTCCCAAATTATTAATATGTCAAATAGTTACCAAAATCTATCAGGGTTTCCGTTTATGGAAGTTAGTGAGTTATTTACTCCTTGATTTTGGCTTATGACTTCCAAAATGCTTTTCCTTCTTTACCTATATAATGTGACTTCCAACATCAGAGATTTTGCAGTCTCTGACTTCCAAATTGTGTTATACTTTTTTTGTCAATATTTCCTGCTAATAATAGAATTTATATGAATTTTATTCCTTGTACTTTTGTGGTGTAAGTGCTTCAAATAGACCCTTAACTTTGGAATATATATAAAATAAAATAAAAAAAACTAAACCTGAAGAAATGAATATTTATTGTTTTTATAGTAAATGAAATATCGTAGAACAGATCGAGGTTAATAGGTTTGATATTGCCAAACTATGAACATAAACTGATTTAAAGAGGTATAAATTAATTTTCAGGAATTACCACATAATAATCTTGGGTGGCAGAGCTCTTCTACAATCTGTTGTTGTTGTTGCTGTTATTGTTGTTATGACTCAGTTCTGTATTTGTTTGATTCTTGTTCATTTTACCAAAACAACAAAAAAAGATGCAAGTGGGGTTTTTTTTGGGTCATAATCTGTGGTCACAATTATATCATTTATTCCTGTTTGTGGTTACATTAATTATGATGATGATGATGATGTTGTTCTTGTCTTGTTGTTGTTGGTGGTGGTGATGATGACAATGATGATGAGGATGAACAGTAATTACATTATTATTTCCAGCATCCTCATGCACTTTCACAAGTGTTTTGATAATCACCACCAATATCATAATTATCAATTTTACTATTATCATCACTTCTGCCATTAAATATATATTATTATTATCAACACTTTGTGATCACTCCTAATGTTGTTTTCATTATCATCATCATCATCATAATAACCATCATAATCATTATTTACATCATAAAATTTACATCATTATCATTTACATCATAAAATTTACATCATTATCATTTATGTCATAACATTTACATCATCACACTCATTTACATCATCATCATAACCATCATAATCATTATTTACCTTATCATTATCATATTCTTCATCATTTACATCATCAACCTAATCGTCATCATTTACATCATCATACAAAGTATTAACATTATCATCATTGAAGGAATCACCATCACCATCATCATTTACATCATCACCCTTATCATCAGCACCATCGAAATAATCACTATTATCATCAACCCCGTCATCATTATCACCTTTATCATCATATTCATCATCATTATCATCATTTTTATCATTGTATGAATTATTATTATCAATGAAGCCTAGTATACAGAAGCTATCTTCTATGATTGACCTGGCTGGATTTTATTTGACCCCATGTTACTAATGGCGCAGACAGATTAAGTGTTTTCTAATAATGTTCCTATAACTTGTAAATAAATATACTGCAATTATTAGGGTCATGTACGAGTCATAGATTTGAGATATCGAGAAATCAGTTTGACTTTATCTATAGATACATATGCAGAAGTTCTGTTATAATAACTTTACCTGCTGGGCTAGAGTTGTCAGATTTTGATACAGTTTTGTGTTAATCGAGGAAATGATTTTTGATTTATCTGTAGCCCGGCTTGTGGCTAAGGCTCAAGAGTGTTGGTTAAATGGTGGCAACATGTTTGCATATCCCCTGTTTTGTTTTAATGGGTAAGACATATTGGTCCAGTGTATGAATTTACCTTGTTTATGTATTAAATAATTATACATCTTAATTGGTCCGAGTGTGCGGATTTGCTTCGTTTATGTAATAATGGTAAATTTATTTGGAACAAATTTCAATGTAAATTTATTAGCCTGTCTGGTAAGACGATGGAGAATTTTATGAGAATGGGTCGGGGCTTTGTGGGTTTGAGTCCCGAGCCAGACCTGATCATGTTTGTTGCAAACAATTTAATTTGACTTTATCGAATTTATTTTCTTCCTTTTGCCAAGCACTTACTGTGTTACGATATATATATAATCATTTATTAATAAACAACTGTAATGATTAACACATAGGTTATCTTGAGTCAAAATAATTCTGATAAAGCATATATATTTATGATTCGTACAAAAAGATAAGTGGAATTGATTTTCCCTGTATATCTTTTGGTGTTTAGAATCAAAAGCATTATATTTCATTGCCTTGAGAAATTGAGGTTAAAATGCTATTTATTTGTTTGATTGGCCAGTTGTGGAAGCCGGTATAAAATACATCGGCTAAATTGAAACTGAAGGTAAGTAGATAAACTGATTTGTTGTCTTATCGTTTATCAAAGAGGTAAAATTTGTTCAGGTGTGCACCTCATTAGACAAGCGAGGTGAAGAAAGGTGAGTGGATCGCTGGTCAGTGGCCAGAATCGTTAAAAGAAAAATTAATAAACATTTTGTTGCTGTATTGTCACTGTAGTGCAGTAACAGGCTAACTCATGTTTATTAATATAAGAAGTTAGCCCGTTTTTGCTTTAAGGTGACGACATGATGAAGGTAAAATGATATAGGATGTTTTAATTTTGCACGATTTTGTTTTCTATGGAAATTAGTTTATTGGAAGGCAATTTATGTTGTTGTTTTCCTTTCTGTATAATAATGCTAAAGAACAAATATATTTCATTATGTATATAAATATAGCTTGATTCCAATTTGGAAAAAGGGGTGTTCCCTAGAAAGCACCGAAAACAAAATTACATGAAAAAGTTAAATTTATCTTGGTTGAAAATTTCTCGTAGCCAAATCAGAGTGATTTTGTGGTTTCTTACAAAATATTACAGGAAATTTTATTAGCATAAATTATGTTACAAAACCTGTATTTTTCATAGCCAAAGAAAATTTAAGCAGAGGAAACCCTGTCACAGATGAGTCAAACAATTTTATTGTATTTTTTCAGGATTACGTAAGATGCGGAGTCGCAAGCCAATCTAGTAATGATATAGTGTTGACAGGTGAGTTTCTATTTATTCCGTAAACTTCAACTAATATTAACCCTTAGCAGGCTGGCATTAACAAATTCTACCCATGTGACCAGTGCAGACTGAGCTCGGCCAGCGATGTACATCCATGCAATCTGATTTTGTTTGAACTGTCCACTAATTAGTCCATATTTTGAAACCTTCTCTATAAACGATGAGTTGTTTAATACTGATAAGTATTCTTCTGAAGCTGTGATGCTATTGCGACCTCAGTTGTGTGTTGCGCTGTTTGCTTATTAGAGTCAATTTTTTTTATTTTTTCCAAGAAATGATGAATGGTTAAAACCCAGATTAGAAAAGGACTGGAGCTCCAAGGCTATTGCAACCTGTCAGCAACTGAGTGGTTAAGGTTGCTGACTTTAAATCACTTGTCCCCTAACGACTGTGAGTTCGAATTCCATCTGGGACTTTGTATTTGTTCATGTAAGGGAGTTGTTCTACTGGCTTAAGAAAGGTCGTTGGTTCTAGGCAAGGGTAGCTTGTATCTGAAATAATGCATGGAGGGCCAGTTCAGGTCTTCCTAGGTGGTTAAAAATCTGGAAATCTGAGCTCAATTATTGTCACTGATAAATTAAATCTTGCTCAAGGATCGAACCAGGGACCCCGGGGTTGCAAATCCATTACCGTCCCTCTTGAGCTTAGCAGGCGGACAGTGTAACATCATCACTCACACATCTGGCAAGTTCCGATTATTTTTCTTTTTCCTTTTGAACGGCATTTCAAGATCGCAGAAATTTTTTGGCAATTAAATTTAATTATAGGCCGCCGTTATAGCAGAGATTAAGAAATCTAATGGCATATTCTTTAATAATTGCTGAGAAAAAAAAATTATAAAAGGAGGAAGGGCCTTGTTAAACAGATATTAAATAATATCTTCATCTGTTAAAACGTATCATAATTCGCTGGCATTTGACTTTAAAGAACTATTAATGAGTTAAGTGGATGCTAGTGAAGTATTTCCTGTATGGAAGAAAACAATCTGAAATTACAGTGAAGTATTATGAAGTAGATTTATAACTGACATTTTCCCTCTTTTTATTACATAAAAATGAGGTTTTATAAGTAGAACATAAAGTATGGGGAAAAATTGACCTGAAATTTCCCATCTGTTTTAATGTTTTAAAGAAAATGAACTCTGTGGAATTTGCCTTTGTTTAAATGTTTTATTGAGTAGAATGGACCTGAAATTTGCCATTTTTGAATGTTATGAAGAAAATGAACCTGAAATCTCTTTGTTTGAAATGTGACTCAAAGTGGCCAAGATATCTCTTTTTGTTTGAATGTAATGAAGAAATAGGGTATGGGATATAAGATTTGGTTAAAGCCAATTCTAAGTTGATGTCAATTTGACTGTGTATATCTGAGGGTTTGGGCATCAGTGGCCGAGTGGTTAAGGTTGTTGACCTCAAACTACTTGCCCCTCACGGCTGTTGGTTCGAATCCCGACAGGGACATTAGATTCTTTCATGTGAGGAAGCTATTCAGCTAGCTTACGGAACTTCGGTAGTTCTACTCAGGTGCCCGTTTGTGCCTGAAATAATGCATGGAAGGGCACCTGAGGTCTTCCCCCACCATTTAAGCTGGAATGTTGCCATATGACCTATACTGTGACAGTTAGACATAAAACCCAATTAAACAAACAAACATCTGAAGGTTTGGATTTTCTGTTATGAATTAGAATCTAAGCCTGCTGTGGCAACTGGATATACCCATGTGGGCAGTGCATACCTGAGTCAGCTGGCACATTCATACTGTCCAATCATGGTCTGCACTGATAAGTATTCGGTCTGTAAATATTTTGAAATTTTTCACTAAAAACTGTTTGGTCCAGATTAGAAGATAGATAAGTTCATTTATGATATTTAGCTTAGTGAGGTTAATTATTGTTTTAACTGTAAACTGTATGGTATCAAATAATTAAGAACAATGTTTTGATAATTTTTTTTACCTTTTCAGGATCTTATGACCACACAGTAAAGTTGTTTGACACTCGTATTGGCGAATGTGTAATGAGTGTCAACCATGGTTCTCCGGTAGAGAGTGTTCTAATGTTTCCAACCGGGGGTCTCTTCTTCTCTGCAGGTAAGCTTGACTGTAAACTTTTGGGGGGTAAATTTGTAATCTTTGTGATGGGTTCCCATAAATTTAATATTAAGATTTTTCTTAAGTTTGTTGTTTTAGAATATGATTGATCTGTTGTGTTCAAAATGCGATTAAAATGACAATGCATATGCAGCAAGTTAAGTGCCAGCCCATACTGCATGACACTGCAGTTTGACCATTCTCATTTTTACCGTCTGCTGCACAGTTTTGAAACGAAGAACCCTTAAACTTACAATAGACTATCCCAAATTGAAAGCAGGGCTAGTCTATTTGATCACTTTAGTGCAATAACTGGTTAACTTCTATTAAATTTAGAAGGACTTAACCCGTTACTGCTCAAAGGTAATAATTTATGGTTACACAAATTCCGGCAGTGTAAGTATTATTATTTACCCCGCAAGGAAAGTGGTAAGCCTCTGCTGTGGCTAAACAAGTGTAGAGCCAGGCCAGCCTCCATGTCCGTCTGTCCAGCACTGTCCAGGCTTTACAGTGTTGGCTAAATTTTTATATTGATATTCTCAAAAATAGATAATGGAGAGTTTCATGAATGAAAGCTGGGCAAGTTCATTTTAGAAATGTTAAAGGTATGAAGTATAATAAAGAGAACAATCTAGACATCATAGTCAATTTATTAATTTATTTGGTATGTAGACAAAACTCTGTTTTGCATGTTCTTATCTCAAAAATATATAATGTAAACAACTATTTATAGTGCCTAAATAGAAGATAAAATTATCCAGTTTTTGTAAATTGGCTAGAAAGTAGGTACATTTGTATATGCGGAGATGAAAGCAGTTAGTACGAAATTTATCGTGTTTTATTATGTTATAGTATGGTCGTCATGTCGGATGTGATCATTATCAAACAGCGAGATCCCCTGATTTAATGCCGGTCTCCTACACGGCACTGTTAATAGTATAAAAGATGTGAGATTTTTTACTCGGCACTGTTAATAGTATAAAAGATGCGAGATTTTTTACTCAGGTAGCGGTACCGTAGTGTTTGTACCCGAGTATTAATAATTATTGACATTTTGCATTCTATATTAAATGAGATAACTCTACTGATACTTTATATTTCAGCGTGTGACACTTCTGATTATGTTTATTGTCGTTTATTTTGTCATTTCCCGTGAGTTTACGGCATTCCATCTAGTTAATTTTTGGCAAGATTTAGTAACACTAATTGAAGATGTTGATTTGTAGAGGGGCGACTGATATGTTAAAATAATAAATACATACAATTAGATTATACCAATTTCTATCGGCTGGATTTGCACCGGAGAGATTTCAAGCATTTCGGTTCATAAGAGAGCGTGGGGGGGGGGGGTGAGCACCTTCCTTTCATTCATATGTAGGAATCCTGTTTTAATTTAATTTGTAATCTGGGAATGTTTCATACAAATATTTCATACAAATATTCAGAATGATGCTGCACCTCAGTGCATTGTTACGTTACGGTCTGATCAGTTTACTCTATCTGGTAACACTTGCCACTCATAGCCGTGGGTTTGAATCCTGCTAGGCTGGATAGATAATTTCATGTGAGGAAGCTGTCCAGCTACCTAATGAAATATAGGTGGTTCTACTCGGGTGCCGGATCTTGCCTGAAATAATGCACATAGAGGGGCACCTGAGGTCTCCCTCAACTAATACAAGCTGGAAAGTCGCCATATGACCTTGACAGTGCCAATGTGACTTTATACCGAACCAAACTACCAGGTTAACTCTCTGAGTGCAGTGACTACAATGACTTTACCAATGTCACTGGCTGGTCCGAATCTCGGTACTTTTGACATGCTAGGCTAGTCTAAGATAAGTCATTGTTGCTGAAAAGGTTCAAAGATTGTGTAAAGTCTTGATCATTCAAGTTTTCATAGATGTCCCTGTCCTGGTGTTAGGCCAATATTGGAAATTTTAGTTATTTTTTACTTATTTGCAAGCCTAGCGCAGATAACTAGGAAAGTAGATTGATGACCCCCCAAATTTGTGTTCATAAATTTGTTTCAATCTTGATTTGTTTTATACAAAGTTTAAGAGAATTCTCACTGCTAGTTTAAGTTTTCTTTCTTTATCTTCGTAAAACAATAATAATGAAATTTCCATTTGGGGGTCTTATACCTTATGAGAATTTTCATGTCTTGAATATAAAATTATATTTATTTTCATACAACTGTTAACGTATAAATAAAAAAATAATAATGTAAAAAAAAAAAAAATTTAAAAATAAAATAAAGTTCAAATTGCTGAAAATAGAACAGTTTACTTACATATATAGAGTCTAAAAGTAGTTGATTTAATAAAAGAAATATAATAAGTAATATGAAAAAAAAATTAAAACTTCTGTAAAAAAAAGAACAAATAACTTATATCTAAAGAGTATATCAAAGACTAAGATATATATATTTTTTTGGGGGGGGGGTTGAAACTTGGGGGTAGAGATTAACTAATTTCCCAAACCATCTGTATTATTTATTATGTGATGAAATCAATTCTTTTTGTTATGTTAGTTGTGGGTAAATATTCGTATTGAAATATCACAAATTAGCCGACGTCAACAGTTTATCAATCAAGTAGCGATCTTCTGACTTTATAAGTCAACAAGCGTTTTTATCAAACAACACGTACAACCTACGACTAGGACCATTAACAACTGAAATATATTTCTAGAATAACAATTTAGCGAGACTATAGACTGGTAGGCTTTGTTCGGAAAATCTTCCGCTAATTTAACTATTAATTCTGACTGACAGTATACGGTAGTGTAGAAGAGATAAAACTTATGTTAATTGCACTATGGGAATCTATTCTTTCTTTTCCCTCGGAACATTTCTGTCTGATTTATAGTCCAACCTCTGTCTTATAAATGCAGAAATATTTCTATCCGAAAAATGACTTTCGTGTTATTGGTTTGTAATTAAGTGTTATTGTGCCGTGGTAATTAAGTGTTGTGTTTTTTTTGTGTGAGTATGAATACCTGGCGCAGGATAAGGGTCGCCTATAAACCTGTGTTAAATACATCGTAGCTGTAAACAATAAGAGTAATGATTTTTTGGTAAAAACATCGAAATGCCAAATACTCATCACTTTTCATTTAATTTTGTATTCACAGGGGTGTCTTTAAATATTATATTATGTTTTGAAGTATAAGAGTCACAGGGGTTTGGTTTGATTTTCTCTGTTTTGTGTAGAGAGAAAACTTCCTGATGAATGCAACCGCTCTGTGTAAAGTATCCATTTTGTAAATGATCTTTAATATGTTTAGATGCCTTGTGTAATTAAGCAAAATTTATTTTTAATTTTTTTTTTTTTACTATTTTGATATTCATTTTGAAAGCTGGTTTATTATCCCTCCTTATCTACTAAATTTCTAAAATAGACTTGTCCAAATCCTTCTTTTTTGAACTGTCTATCATCAATTCAAGGGATATCAAGACGAAAATTTAAAGTAAGCCTACCAGCTAAGTATAGAGCTTGGTCAGACTGCTTGTTAGCTACATGTTCACCTTGCTCTATACTTGTGGCAGAAGCTTATCAGTTTTGGTTCTAGGTGGTTGTGGGTATGAAACTCTTTTGTGACCCCGTTATTATCTATCTAGTACTGTTGATCAAATTATTGTTAAATTATCACATTTAAACATCATCATTTGAAAAGTATGCCAAATTTTTATGCATAAAAATGTTTGATTTTTTTTTTTTTTTTTTTCGGAAAAGTTTGGCCAGTTTATTTTATTGTCCTTTTAGTTGGAATTTCCTTATCTGATACAGCAAAAGATTTATTTAGAAATGTTTAAAGAGCAATTGGCATTGACAAACATCTATTGTGAAATTCCAACAAGCCCCCCCCCCCCCCCCTCGATGTGATTTACAAAATGATCTTTGATTGTCTATAAATGCCAGAATGTCGTTTATTTTATTTTTATTTTTTTTACTTCAAGAAAAACATGTTGAACATATCTCATGTCAGTCATCCATCACAGGGGCAGAAATCAGTAAAATCGGTGGCGGGTAATTTACAATTTACCAAAATTCATCAAGAAAATTGTGAAAAATTTCGCTCCCACTAATTTCACGCTCGACTGGCAACGATTTTATTAGAAATTGTAGAAACATGTGTATAATAATTCATACAAGATGGATGAGACTGTACGTTAGAAGCTTAGCGAAGATTTATCAACAAGAAAAATATTATTATGTCTCCGAGCATAAAGATTCATTAACTTTTTTTTTCCTCGCCCGGTATATTTTATTGTTGCAATTTCTGTAAAGCAATCTTAAATGTCATACTGGAGAAAGTTGCCGATTTTTTTATATTCCTTTGTTTTATGATTATTGGATGACTGTTAACATTAACAGTGAACGATGAAATATAAAATATATCCCACTCGGAAATATTTTATGATATATTTTTTTTTTAAATTTTAATTATTTCATTTACAACAAAATGTATTTGAAATCAAGAGTTCGATGTATTAAGGCGTCAATGACTTAATTAGGTCACCAAATGAACAAATTTTTTAATTTTTGTTACAGTTGTACCTTTTTTTCTTTTTGTTGTGAAATTCTAGTTGAAGACATTTTAATGTTAAAATTACGTCCATCGTTACTGTGTGAAATAATTAATGTAAAGAAAATGACCGTTGTTTTCTCTTCTTTTGTCTATTATTATTATTATTATTATTATTATTATTATTATTATTATTATTATTATCTATGTACTTTTTTTTTCTTTTCAAAAAAAAAATTAAAACAACCAATGTTAGTACTTATGCACTGGTGTAATAAATGTCTGCCCAGTAACATTTCTTGCCCAGCATGTAGAATCTACATGTATCTAAAAAATTGTGTTGTATAACAAATAACATTTAAACGTTGGAACATTTCTCGGAAATTATGACAGTGCCGTAACTTGCTATTTTAATAAATATAGTTACGTTATTTTTCCGTTTGATTTGTTTAGCGAAGTCATTCAGTCAGTAT